TTGTCCCCATTTGGCCGATAGTGACCACAGTGGACGATGGGCAGCGATGATCAGGGTCTAGTCGAAGTTATACTGTAATTGCAGACAATTCCAGAAATTTCGAAAAAAAAAATTACGGCATGTGCTCCATCGCATGTTTGTCATCTTCAGACACCGAACCGATTTGAGTTAAATTTCGAGCATTTTTTTCGCAATTTCACTGCAAAATCCCTTGGACCTCGTCCAGTCAGTGGCCTCGATTTCCCTCGTTCAGAGCATAAAAGCATAAGAAATGTTAGAGCATAAGCAAAAGCATAAGAGCACCTCGTCCAGAGCATAAGAAACGCTCTCCGCTTGCGTTTGTTGTGTTCGTGCCACAGAACTGCTTGAGCGAAGTCATGAGGGCGTTTTGTCGTCCGTTGGCTTTAAAAATGAGATTTTCAGGATCTGTGTCGAAGCTGTTGCTGCGTCAACGGCAATGGTAAATTTTTCTGAAAATTCGATTTTTTTAGATTTTTCCTTGAAAGTTGCATTTTTCATTGGTCCCTTCCGTCCGCTTGTACGGCGGACACCGCATATTTGTTTTTCTTCAACAGCTGTGCTGCTAGATCCGGAGCAATTTCTCTTTTGTGACTCCCGTGACTCGTGAAAAAACACCCCTGCTCTATGCAAAAGTGCAAATGCAAGCCAATTCAGTGGTTCGAGCGCGATCGGTTCGTTGCGGCGATGTAAAAAGGGTGAGAAGGATGTGGCATGCCATTCATGGACATCTCCGAAGTGCTCGACTAGAATACTGGGAACAGCTCGAGTTCATAGCCTGATTTCCTGACTTCTCAAACTGACAAATGCTGCGTCGTTTAGTGGTGGTTCTAATAAAAAAAAGATCGCAACGATCTCGCTGAGCCCTTTTTTATGCGTTTTGTGCTGTGAAACAGCAGTGCAAAACGCATATTGTCACGGCGTTGTCTGTGTGTGTGTGTCCGCAGCAACTTGTCCGCAACTTTCAACTCGGGAACCACAAAAGCTAAAAGCGCTGAATAGGGTAACGTTTCCCACCCACGTGTGACCCCACAAATTTAAATTCAGCTTCCCCGTACCCACGGGTAACGTGTACGGCCGGACGTTCCCCACCCATGTGTGACCCCGCAAATTTAAATTCAGCTTCCCCGTACCCGCGGGTAAGACGTTCCCCACTCACGTGTGACCCTTCAAATTTAAATTCAGCTTCCCGGTACCCACGGGTAACACGTGTTCCCCACCCACGTGTGACCCGCAAATTTAAATTCAGTTTCCCCGTACCCGCGCGTAACGCATACGGCGCCTTGAAAGTTTTTTACGGGTAAGTTAATATCTCGGGAATCACGGAGTCTAGGAGGTTCAAATTTTAGGGTAATGACCCTCTGCCCATTCAGCTTTCATACGCTGTTGCGTGAAATTTTTAACTGTTTTCCAATGTTTGAACTGTTTTTGCATAGACTAAAGTACAAAGCAGAGAAAATCATTAATAGGCAATCGTTTGATGGGCTGAATTGTACAAAACGCATGATCGCACCGGCTAGTCTGGTGCGCATTGGTATTTATTTTGAGTGACACGAACGTGAGGATCGCCGACAACCTGACCAATAAGGGGTCCAGTTCTTGCTAGTCAGTTTGATGGCCATCCTCATGTCCACTTTTCGAGGGGCCCCTGGCATGTGTTGAGTATCACTGCACTCCTAAATCGCGATGAGGTATCTTGCCAAATAGGAGTTTGATTCTGTGTCATGCGGGGATTCTACAGCTCACGGCAAGATTGCAGATGGAAGGTCTGGAACTGAGAAGTTGACAGTTATGTCTGTCTTAGGTAGGAAGTAAATATGTGCCGGTACTTGCATCCAGAGATTGCACGTCGAAAGGTCTGCCAGTTGACACAAATGGTTCCATCTGTATAGATTAGGTTTTGTAGACGTGCTGATGTGAGTAATATTTTTACGCAGCGTAATAAGGAGAGTTTCGTATTTCTGGAAGAACTGGCCCTTGGCAGTGAATTGCCCTTTCATTGGCCACTGTTTTGCTGCGGGGATTCAGTTGCACAAATTTAGGATCGAAATTCGACAACGTCTTCCAGTACACGACTGAAGGAATTCGGACCTTGGTCCGAGCAGCATAGTTCCAGTGGAAGGCGCTACTTCTACAATCGTGAGACAGAGGTGTCGCAGTGGGAGAAGCCTCCGGAATGGCGTGAGTACGAAAGACAGTTGGCTGAGAATGCGGCTAATCAGAGTTCCAACTCATCTGCCTGTATGTTCTTACCATTGGCTTCCTTCATGTGCTGTAACTGCTAAATTCTTTATGTAAAGGCAATATCCATTTCGTCTTTAGCCTTCTGTGACAGCCGAAGGCACCCGAAGGTAGCCCGCACTTTGACATGTGCAACCACTCATTGGCGAATTTTTCTTCCGCAAATTCGTAAAAGAAAATTACACTTATCCATTCTTTTCTTACGGAAAATGAATAACATTTATTGAATATATTGCTCTGAGCTAGCGTACGTTAAACAGTGGATGCGCATTAATTTGTATACAACTTCAAAACCCAAAAAATTCCTGTTCAGCTGTTTAATTTTAATTTAATGCCATTGGCGTATGTTGAATAGAGGATGGGCATTAACTTAGGGTACGCAGTGCAGCACCAAAAAGCCTGGCGTAGCTTTTTTTGGCAAGTGGGAACATCCCAGTATTCTCTGCATTATTTTGTATTCATTTATTTTTTTTTTTAGTGTATTTTAAGCTGTGCAACAGCTAAACAAAACGCATATTGTCATGGAGCTGTCTGCATGTATGTGTGCGTGTGTTTGTCCACATCAGCTTGTCTGCAACTTTCAACACGGGAACCACAAAAACTAGAAAGCTGAAAATTCAGAGGAATGTACCCCACCTATGTATGACCGTGCAAATTTAAATTCAGCCTCCCCGGGAACATGTACAGCCCTGTAAAAATTTCGGCAGGTAAAACCGTTTTTACGGGAAACACGGAAGCTAGAAGGCTGAAATTTTGGGAGCATGTCGCCCACCCATGTGCGACCCAGAAAATCTGAATTCAGCCTTCCCTTACTCACCGTTAATACTACGGCCCCGTAAATGTTTTAGTGAGTAAAATTATTATCACGGGAACTACGGAATCTAAGAAGCCGAAGTTTCATGGTGATGATCTCCTGCCGCCTTACACTCTTACAAATTCAAATTCAGCATTACCGCGCTTTCGGATATCACCTACGACCCCGTAGAAGTTTTGGCTGGGAAAGTTATTTTCTCGGGAGCTACGAAAGTTGGAAACCTTAAATTTCAGGGTGATGTCCCCTAGCAGCATTCGATCCCCGCAAATTTGGATTGAATTTTCTGATAGTCAGTGAAAATTCATGCATTTAACTCTGGCGTTTTGGGACTTTGTTTGTTTGGATGTATTCTGATTTCCTGTCTCTGTTGTGTGTATGTGTTTCAGTTTGGATTCGAGTTTTGATAATTCTGAAGAACTGCAGTTTCTTTAGCTCGTCCAGCTGGAGCAGCTCCGAGCGTCGGCGCCGTCGCAGCGCCCCAGCCGTCCGGCCCGGCAACTGCTGCTGGTGCTGTTCCCGGGAATAGTGCTGGAGCTCAGGGCAAGACGAAAGCGCGCGAGAGAGTCGAGGTGGTGGAACTGGCGCCGAAAACCAAACGTCCAAGAACTGAAGCGGCTGAGGAAGACCCTGTTGGTCCAGTTGTTTTTTCCGAGGAACAGCATCGGCGATTTCTGCGGTACTGCTTGATTTTTTTTTAAAGTTCTTTTGAAATTTTTAAAGGGGTTTTTTCCGCGTACTTTACAAGAATAACTGTGCACTTGCAAGACCATATCTATTTTGCGCTAAAATTAAGCAGCGGGTGCGATTCAGGCACGTGATAACCTTGTGAGGGTAACGAATGTACAGGGGTGCATAACTTATAAAAGGTTCTCGAAGAAATGGAAATGATGCAGTGGAAATATATTTAGCAGTGGTGTAAGTGTTTGAAGTCTCTCTGCGCTTCATTCCGACAGTAAATATGGAAGTACCCTGTCTGGTTCTGAGTTCGAAATGAATAGTGGCATTCGTTTGAGGACTGCGCGAACTTACTTTCCTTTTTGTCTAAAAAAAATGCATTTGTTCTTCATATACCTTACAGCCATAGCTCGAGATCGGGTGTAGAAGAAAAGTTGATATATTAAGGCTTTGAACATTGCAGTTTCCACATTTCAGCTTTCTAGCTTATCTGGACACGAAAGTGCCTGACACACATACACAAATATTCATACGGATATCGTACATGTATGGGAATCATGTCGTTTATATTTTTTATGCGTTTTGTACTGTGCAACAGCAGTACAAAACGCATATTGTCAGGGGATTGTCTGTGTGTGTTTGTTTGTGTGTCCCACATTTTGTACCGAACTTTCAACTCGGGAACCACAAAAGCTAGGCGGCTGAAATTTTGCTATATTGTTCCCCGCCAACGGATGACGCGGCAAAATTAAATTCAGCCTTCCCTTACCCGCGGGTAACACGTACGGCCCCGTGAAAGTTTGTTACAGGCAAATCAATATCTCAGGAACCACGGAGTCTAGGAGGCTGAAATTTTAGAATAATAACCCCCTGCCCACGCTCAACCTTGCCTATTCAAATTCAGCGTTTCCTCGCTGTTGAGTATCACCTACGGTCTCGTGAAAATTTTGGTGGCTAAACTGTAAACTTGGGAATCACGGAAAGATATTCACCCTTCAAGGTTTCGAACTCAGCTTTCATGCGCTGATGCGTGAAATTTTTAACTATTTCCCAATTTTTGAGCTATTTTTGCATAGACAAAAGTACAAACCAGTGAAAATCATTAATAGACAATCGTTCGATGGCTGAATTGCACAAAACGCATGATCGCACCGGGCTAGTCTGGTGCGCGTTGCTATTTATTCCACTAAGTACAGAATAAGTCCGAAAATATTGCCGACATGAGTCGACTTATTCTGTTTCAAAATTAGCGCAAAAATGCATGATCACACTGGAGCCTGGTACGCGCTGCGAGCAGGGTTACATTTACTACATAAAAGCAGTTTGCTTCCAGCACAGTGAGAGGATCGTATTTTTGTAGAGCGGATGCACAAAATGCGACGCGCCATTGGCCGACCGAAGAGCTGGAGCAGAGTGCGATGAGAGCCGGCGCTGCAGCCCACTACCTGACCATCCAGCTGATCAATGCGTCCTGCGACATCAGAAGTGCTCGGTCATTCCTGGAGGCTGCCGAAACGTGCTCGGCGCTGGCCGCGCAGAAGCTGCAGTCCATTGCGAAGTACCAGAAAGAGCTGGCGTCGAGCATGCACCTCTGAACAAAGATCCTGCCGCAGCATACATCGTACTGAGAGAATGCCTTTCGAAATTCACCTAGGGATCCTCGGTTTCTAGCCCCTGACCCCTTTCATCATCATATCATCATTGTGCTATTCTGAAGCGCCAAGCGTGAGATTCCCACGCAGTTCTGTTCAAGCAGACTGACTCAGTATTCGAGCTAGGAAGTTTTATTCTGCAAACAGCTCGAACCGTCAGCGTGGAACTTTTGATGTTTGTGGAATTGTACGGTGCAACATCATCCATCACCGCGCTCGCTCTGTTCGCAAGACATCGAAAGTTGCCTTATTTCAGCACCGGTTGACACAACCAGCTAATGCGCGTTGTGACAGAGAGGCATTGCGTTCTGAAAAGCACTCATCGAGGAGAATGAGCACCTCCATCTCTCTATGCCCGTTCCCCCTCCTCTCGCTGAAGTGGTGTAGAAAATATTCTTTTAAAAAATTAGATGTTTACATTTTAAAAAAAATAATACTTTTACAGTTCAATTTTTTTTTTGCTGTTTACTGTTTTGCTCACAGATTGTTATTTTTTTTTTTTTTTTGGTTAATCTCAAATTCCAGTCGTTTTTTTTCTTCGGATTAGCATCTTTCAGTTAACGCCGGTCTCATTCCTACACGCTTGTTCAGATTTTTGCTATGTTGGTTAATCATAAATTCTAGTTTCCTGGACTGAATCTTCCATTAACACGGTCGCGTTCATGCATGCTCGGTGACCGAAGTGTGATTGTTTTACTTACAATGGTAATTGTTTTTATCCTAGCCTGTAAGAAGAATAAAACAACTTGAAAACTTGGCAATTTCGGAACATGAAATAACAAAAAAGAAACTCAAAATTTCGTGATATCATAAGAAAGTCCTACACCGGTCGTGCACTGCTTTTTCGCTTCTTTCATTCACGATGCCTTCCACGTCCAGTTCTGACCGAATCACCCGTAACTATAAAACAGAGGCAATTTTCACACAAACTGTGAGCATATATATGTGCGGGTGAGATGGGACTCTCAAAGAGGCAAGATAAAGCTGGCTGACCACGTTTTGAGCATTTCGAATTACTCCTAGCGGCGCATCTTTTTCGCGCAGACGCGTGATGTTGGCTCGATTCTCCTCCACACAGTGCTGGATCAGATTCATTCTCTTGGCTCTCATATCCAACAGCTGAAAAAGGCAATCAAATATGATTTACAATCACTCGTCTGATGTGCTTGTGGCCTTCAGTATCGCCAACTGAGATTCATACAGTGGGCGCTTACTGATATTGTTCGAACTGTTTTAAAGACGCAATCAGCCCCAACAAATTCTGGCTACTCTTTGGAAATTGAGTCCTTGGCATCTTTTCCTGCATTTTCAGGATCAAGTAGAACAGTATGAATGGAAATTCGGCAACTCAGTCCCTCATTTTAAGTTAAAGCAACCTTTTCAACCAGTCTGTATCCTGAGTTCCGAAACTATAACCTTCCAATGCACAAAATAAACTTTTAGCTAACCTACCGAACCAATCGCTTCTGCAGATACAAATCAAATTAGTTCAGAAGCACAGAAAAGCCCTCCTTCGCCCCCGCCTCTCTTCGCATCCACTTGAAACAAGCGCCGGACATTTGTGAGACTTGAAGACTCATAAGCAAAGGTTCCGACTCATTAGGGATTATACTCATTAAATTTTAGCTTCCTACTTTGCCTAGTCGTGAGG